GGGTTTCCCTCCCCCCAGCCGGTTTGCTGCTTCCCCAGCCGGGCAGGGTCGTGTCTCGGCTGGGGTTGAGGCGGCTTTTGCGCGCCGTGTCGCGACAGCGCGGTGCTTTCCAGGTCTCCCGCAGCCGGTCCGCTGGTGACGGCACCCTGCGCGTTTCCCTGGGTCAGGTCAGGGCAGCTCTGAGCCGAGGGGAGTCGCTTGGCCAGGGGTCGCGGGACGGCAGTGTCCTTTGTGTGCTGGTTACGCGTCCTGAATTATCTTAAAGGCTGTTTTATTATTATTATTTTTTAAACCCCTAGTTTTTTTTTTTTTTTTTCCTGGAAGACCTTGCCAAGCGGATGAAAGTTAACGACAAAGTTAAACGTCGCTCGTGTCGCGGGTGAGACCCGAAAAATAGCCTAGCCTAGCCTCTCTGCCTGCCTCTGGCCCCGTCTCCGTTAGCTGAACTTTGCAGAAATGTCCCCGTTTTGCTGCCGCTTTTCTGTCTAGCTGAGGGCTTACAGCACATGAGGGCACCAATGTGAGGGCTTGCTAGACACGAGAGTTTTAGGTGCTGCGTTGCGCAGCCTTGTTCTGGGAAGGGTTGGATGATACAGCATTTCCAGGCTTCCTGGCTCTCTCAAATGGTGAGTGTTTTATTGCTGACCAGCAGTTGCAGTAGCATGAATCCCTGGTGAAAATGACCTTGCGCAGATGTGATTTGAATGTTGCGGGAAGAAGTCAGGTGCGGCTTTCAACTTATCTACGTTGTTATGTTTTCAGAGTGAAAGAAGGGAAGTTGTTTAATTCTGAAGACTCAAATTCAGATGTTTAGCCTGGACAACCATTGAAGCTTTTTGTCAATATAACAACACAGGTTCCAGGATTTGGGGGTGGAAGGGGAGGGAAGGGTTTCTTTCTTTTGTTTGTGATGGGGGGGGGGGGGAGGAATACATTTAGTAATTTTTCTATTAAAAAGCCCTAGTATAAGCATCGATTGTACGGTGCAAGATTATATGCTGGTAAGGACCTTGCTAAAAGCAGGTTTAGTTGATAAATTTAAGCAGTATGTGATTTTTTTCCGACACTGTGAGGCCTTTTATTGTATAGGTCTGGTCTTAATCTTTCTTTTTCAACAGCTTAGAGGCTTATGAAGTTTCATTAGTTTCTTAGCTGCTTAGAGCTGAGCTATTGATAAAAGTAGGTGATGCATGTCCTAGAGGAATGAGACTACTGGAGAAATAGTACTTCCTGAGTTTGATTTGCGTGGCTTAGATTAATCAGGAGCAGGGGGTTTGGGGGAGAGTTGTTTGCTTGCTTTTTAAACCCACAGAGTTCTAACCAAATTGCAGACCAAACATTTGTTTTAAATGATATGAATTCTCAAAAAAGGTTTAATACTTTTTTTGAGCAGCTTGGTTAGAATGAGTTCATATTCATAAGGATAACTTATCTGTTTTGAAGTCTCTTTTTGATGCTTCCAAATTGGCCTTGTTGGTTTTTTTTTTTTTTTTCAAATGACTATGCTAAGATAATTTTTTACCTTAATATACCGACTTCTGTCGTTATAAAGTCCTTTACAGAGTTTCAGTCTGTGGGCCTGATTTTGTTCTCCTTACATGACAGAAAATATTTTTTCAAAACCACTGGGGGTTTGGTGTATTTAATATCTGCAAAATTTGGTCTTAAATAGGAATTTGCTTTCCTGTGTCTCTTTCTTACCTAGAAAATGGAAGCTGTTACAAAGCTGGTGGTAAATTGATGCCATTAACATGGAAATGACTTTAAAACAGGCAAGTTTGACCTGTGGAACTGATGGTAGCTGTCACAGGATTGAGACAGTCTTCTCTCACCTTTTTATTTTTAAAATGAATGGGGGAGTCAAAATCTTTATGCTCTGACTGGGGGAGTTGCTATTTTAAAAAGCGAATGAGCTTAGGGCTTTAGATAACGAAGGAAGCTAAGAATCGTAAGGGGCAAATACAAAGTTACAGTATTTCC